CTGGTGCAAAAGTCGATGAAAGTCCTTCGTTAGCCATCTCAACTTTGCTGTCCAGTTGCTTAAACTTTAAGAAATATGGGCACTCCCTGTCACATTTCAACCGAATGGCTTATTACTTCAAAACAGATGACCTGTTAATGACTGGGGACGGTCTGTTGACATGGATCTCGATGCATTTATAAAGGAGGTTCGTAGGTGATATGTACAATACATGTATAAAAATAACGATTCTTCAAAGAGAAAATTATTTTGGAGTAACTGACCACATTTAGTCTTTCAGTTGAGCCCTTTCACACACAGGGACTGTAAATGTTTAATTATAAAACTTTTAAAGACATTATCTATCCCTGCCAATCATTCCCCTTTTCCACATCTAATCAATCCATGCATTTTACTCTACCTTATCCTTTTTTGGGCAAGAAGGGCGGATCGGAAAAGTTGGTTCCGGATTCGTACTTGTTTACAGGTGTATGTGAAGTTAATGTGGTGGCTGATGCAGAAAAGAATGATATACGGGCGATTCACAAAAGTGCGCCACCAAGAGTCTGCAACGCGTTGGCCAATCACAACGCGCGAAATCTGTAAACCCAATGCGCGTTCGTAAAGGGTTGACAAATTTCGCACGTTGTGATTGGCCAACACGTTGCAGACACTTGGGGCGCACTGTTGTGAATCGCCCGCATTGCCAAAAATCAGTGAAATCTGAAATATTATTGATTCGGTGTTTTGAGTCCAAGTGCAAATGACCACAACTGCATTTCATTTGACAAAGTATTATGTATCCATAGTATTTCATATCCATTTGGTGTTGTATACTACTGAAAATTGTTATTTTTTGTAATAAAAGGGTGCAGGCTCATAGTTTTTCTGCTTTGATATTCATTCCCCCGATCTGACTGATATCGAGGTATCCAGAGGCGCGTATTATAATTATAAACTTTGTATAGGAATAATTATAGGATCGTGCTGCTTCAGATGTCACAAACAAAAAAAACGCTGAGCAATTGTTTGAGATTTAAAATGGTAGTCATCTTTAAATAGCATACTTTAGTTGTTCGAGACTCAAGGTTTAATGGATATCAGTGCATTCTGAGGTTGTGACTTGTAGGGAGCCCGGGTGGAAACAGCTTATGGTTACTTTGTTATTTGAAAGTCTATAAAAGAACGAGAAGAAATTTTCTGTCAGTGCACAGTGGTATCGATTTCAGAGCGTACTTTAACATGTCCTTATCAAGTTCAGGTTAACTATTTACAAAGAATTCATATATAGGAAGGTTTTGTCATTACCAGGGACGGCTTAAAGGCAAAAGCATGTTTATATACAATTTCAGATAGAGGTGCGAAGGCCCTGTAAAGCCATAAAGTATATGTTTTTGCAAAATTGACATTCGTGTGTATTGTTTTCAGGTTTGTATTTATGAAGATTACCTTTTGGAACTCGTTTTTATAATTTTTTAACGTCGCTTTTAAGACTTAAAATTAATTTTTCTTCGAAGTTCGTTTGTAAGATACATATTTTTTTTTTAGTTTATTCTTTTCAAATCGTTTTCTTTTCAGAAACAGTGAATCATAATTCCATTTTGGAAACAAATCGTTTTACAAGATATAATTTCTGATCAAATTTGCTTTTACGACACATTTTTTCAAGTTAATTTTCAAAGGATACATATTTTCAACTTTGATTCATGTATTTTAGAAAATCAAACTCAAAAAAGGACAGTTCAAGCTTGTTTCCTAGCTCCACTTGTCATTTATGCGCATGCGCACATAAATTAGAATTTATTAGTGAATTGGTCTATTTGGTCCACTGTCCCGAGTTGGCGAGCTACGCACATCTGCATGTATATAAAAGTTTTACTCTTGGTCTAGACTGTTAAGTGTGCAACTCTGTGGGTGGACAACTATTTTTATCTTCACAGTCGGCACTACAAGTGGACGCATAGGGCGCACATTATGTACACACTGTGTTCATCAATTTTGAAGTCCAAATAGACGTATGTGTACATGTATGTACTTTTTTTACACCACTACCACTTTTTACACCACTACCAAGCAATTATGGGGAGCAGCTAATTTGGGAACCGCATTTCATTGTCTCTAAAAAATGGAGACCACGTTAGGAGATTATTTCTTTTGTAAAATACATGCATTTGAATTGTACATCTTGGAAGTATTACTAATAGTTAAGTTTCTAAACACTATTATTCTGTAAAGTTATATATGAATTGTCATTGTTATAATTTTAGTTATAAGAGTTAAATAGGAGGTTAAACGGAAAGTAAATTGACTAAATGTGAATTTAAAAAAGCACAATAGCAAATCATCAAACTTACTCATTACATTTAACATGATTTAACATATAGATACGTAAAAGTGAAAAACTGATTTTAAAAAGAAAACAAATGGAAGGACTATATTCATCAATGAACAAGACACATTGAAAATATAAGTGAAATTGAAAGTGGTGTTTCCACCGAACATAAAACAGAAGATGTTAGCGCGGTAAATCGAAAATTTCAGAGAGCATCAACCTATGGAACGTATGAAACTGTGTCCTTCATTATAAAGAGAATTTTGCATTATGATTAACGTTGTAATAATTCAATGTCACAATAGCAATTTCTGTGTCCATCAAGTCTATTTTGATGGTCAGTTGTTTTGGAAAACTGTAAACATTCTTCGACAACATTAGGAATCGTTGACAATTTTCTGAATTGGGTGACATCATAAGAGTGTTTTCATGTATAAAATTTACTTGAAGTAACTCAACTCGGACTTTGTCCGTTCTATTTCTTTAAGTACTTTACATTTCAGGACCCCTCTAGTCACCCACAATCCCTTGCGGCGTATGGACGTACACTAATAACCTTGACATACACCTAAGTACCAATTCATACAAAGAGTTGACAACGACAGGCTAAAGCAAGAACTGTACAACACTTATAAATTTATAGATCATTACAGAAGTGCTTTCTCTAAAGGGCTATCTGCCGGGCTCAGCTGCATCCAGCGATCAGTGTCCTCGGTCCCCTGGTCAGAACCAACTTTTTTGTGGTGGAGCTAGGAGCACACTGCACTGTTAAATCTATATTTAATGGCCTCACGGAGAGTTGAGGCTACAAAAAGCCTTCCTCTCCTTTTTATCTGAAAAAATGTCTACTTTTTGTGGGGGCCATCCCCCTTAGCACAGGCAGTCAGACGGTGCAATCTGGGGAAGGACTAAAATGCCGGTTTTCTTTAAGCGACGATCTAAAATTTGAAATCCTCGAGACGGTAGTTGCTGAAATTACTACAATGTAAACTGTGATCCGAACAAATACCTGCCAACATCTCAAGGTTTGTGGCTCTGAGTAGCTAACATAAAGGAAATTTCAATATCATCACCATAATCTAAAAAGCATCGAGAAATGACAATCTACAAACAGATACTTACTATAGAATGTCCACATTAATGTGATTAGGAACAATGTACATGTATTTACAACAACTCGTGCTCCTTTATCACAATGAGATTTATATTTATTTATGAATGAAACCATCACAAACAGCACCTGAAAGTAACCAGTCGAGCGATAGAAATGAACCATGGATAAAAAGCAATCACGACTTTTCACTTTCGATAGATTTGTTATAGCTCTATGGTATGCTAAGGCAAATCCACCTTCATAGCAATCTATGGGGACAGACGCAGCGTTAATGACACTGTACATTAGTGTTGTAAATAGGCGTGCGTGTACGGGAGCGATTTTGACAGATACCATAGAGCTCTGCAAAACCTATTCACGTTGAGGCCATTGTTAATTGCATCAGTGGTAAGACACTCGAGTATACTGCGATATATTTTTGTCAACTTTATCCGGTTCTTACGTGACCTCGTCACACGCGCATTGCAAGCTTCTACTGGATGAGCACTCAAGTTGCGCGTTAACTTCCCGTTTCTGTGGTTCCAGGAAGCTCTTCCAGATTTTAAACTGAAGTGACGCAACACTTGAGAACCGGATAGATATGCTATGGGAATTTGCAATTATTAAGGGTAATTCTGCTGTAGTTTCCTCCTCAATGTGTTCGGTACCTTATCAAACACCCAATATTTACGACTGTACATAAATGTTACATGGATAATCCACGTTTGTAGAGAGTCCTGTTCTCATGCTATTCGCTTCCTGAAGCACCCGCTTCCGTTGTGATGCTAGCATAGGGTTACGAGCCAGAGTCAACGCTACCAGCCACTTGTTGCGCATGCGCTGTGAGTATCGTTTCTCATTATTTCTTCCCAGCTCTTCGCGTCCACCCTCTATCTCTGCAAAAATACGTCAGATTTAGCAAATACTTATATAATATATAAAATATATTTAATTGCTTTCTACTCTCCAAACTGGGAAATTAACCCACAACTTATGTGAAAAATAACTTTATCAAGTCCAATACTGTGATGACCGAAACATGAATACAGTGACTTACGTAGACTGACAACTGACACGAACTCACTGGTTGAGCATTGCTGCAGCGAGGCTTGGTCGGTTTTCACGGTTTGCAGAAGAAAATGACAGAACGTGACGAGGACAGGATGTGTGTGAGCGACCTCCAGTTGAAGGAAGCTAATGTAAGCACCGTAACCTGTGAAAGGCGCAACAATGCCATCGATTTCAAACTCGATACAGCAGTGTTAAGTCTTATGGCCTTGTGCCTGAAGCTGGGATTTCATGACCTGAAAGAAAAACTGTCAATGAAGGGTTTGATCCCAGCTTATGAGTGTCCTTAATACAATGGCCTCTAACCTTGACCATTAGTCCAGGAGTGAGTGGACGAATCATGCATTCGTTGTCATGCCGTGCAGTGATAGTAAGGGTATTTGGCAAAATTCAAATACACCAGCTCAAAATGGGGGCTTTTTTAGGTATCTTCGTAAATGTAAACATGTATAGAATCTCATTCCTGACATCAAATTCAATGAGAACCAGACGTTTCATTTCAATTGTGTGTCACTCAGTTCCGAAATGAATAAGTGGTTTTTTTTCAGCCTACAATGAGGAGTTTTTAGGGTTAAAATTAGGGATTTCTTTGTCAAGCTATTGTTTCGTATGCAAATGCAAATAATTTTGACACTTTAAAAAGAAACGTACTAAATAGTTCTTTGAAAACGAAAAGTTCAATTCAAACTAGTTAATCCAACTTTGAGATGTACGACACCAATAAATGTACATCAGACACCCAAGCAATAAATGCCATTTCTGAAAGCCACAATCAAACAGAAAGGTGCTCGGCAATGAGGGGGTATCCGCACAGAAATCAATAACCTATAGACCGACAGCGCCTATGGAAATTAACGTCTGGATACTGTAATGATAACAGCACCCGACTAAACATAAAAACCATAAGCAGAGGTAGTTCGAGGGTGACCGTTTTAGCAAACATTCGGTTAAATTTGACAGATTTGTTCGAAAATAAAAACGCTTTTAACAGAAAATTTAGCAGAATATGTATTATTGGTAGTTTTGTAGCAGCTAGAATTCTGAAGATTTTGGATTCTGGCGGTAAGATTTAGCACGTTTTAGGACAGAGTTTTAGAGCAAGTTTTTATTTCTAAAAAGACACATTATCCATTTTGTTGAGTTTCCAAATGCATAAACGACGGGACAGACAGGCCAGTTTATGTATCGAGGTATTCTGGTGCCCACAGCAGGCGCAGCTTGTGGACGTAGACCCACTCTAATTTGCCTAAGACTTAAATGACCAACGGCGGTTACATGTACATGTATACTCATTGGCACGTAAGTACATAACTTGTTTATTATAAGTATGTCGTGATTAGATAATTGTACACTGGATTTAGAGCATTTATAATGCATTTTGCTTAGCTTCATTTAGTTGATTTGACAGTTTTTGTCGAATCTGGCAAAATATTGAAGTGCATCTGGAAGAATTGCACCATGTTCATCTGGAGTCCAGCAATGTATGGAGACATCTTAGGATGAGTGATACAAATCAGAAATTGTCTACAATGGGTTCGGACACAATGCTAGCAGTAGTAGACACGCGCGCGTACTCCATTCGTTTGCACTGCACTTTCTAGTTCACAGTGACGTCACACTTCGGTACTCTAAGGCTGAGTTCGGGCGGCTTGTTCTCGNTATGTTCACGAACAGCTCGATTTGTTGTTGGTGGGTCGGCCGCTCGAACGCCCGGAACAAACAACCGGTTACCAATGGTAGTTAGTGACAAGCAACATGCAACATGGCGGCGTCCATGTAGTAGGCTACGTTATTCGCGAGTTAATGTTTGGATGGGCTGAATTCTTTTCTATATAACAGGAACATTCATTTCTGTGTTACAGAAAATAATTAATGTTAATTTTGCAAAACTTCCCATTGTCTATGGCTTTGGAAGCCATCTCTCTACTTTTTGCAGCTGTTCAAAAATCAAAATCTCACGATTTTTTCCGTGTGTTCCTGTAAAACCCTGACGAGGAGGTGGTGTGTGATCCTGTTCCGAGAACAGTGTTCTTTAGTCGTGTTCCCGCCGTTCCACTCGGAGCGCGAGAACACGAAACCCGTGTCAAGGACAGGCCGCCCGAACTCGACCTATAAGAGTCCCACGAGTCCATACACATCAGAGAGCGTCTGCATAAAAGGGTTGTGTCCATATGCCTTACACTATGGAGGTTCTTTTGAGCCGCTTTCTACAACAGTAAAAAGTTACTTCCTTCTTTCAAAACTTTTAGTAACTAGCTTATACTCTCTACCGGGACATCAATTGGCTTCGTGCGTAAACTTTGGAAATGCCTGCTGCACCTTCAGAGGTATCTGTCGCTTTGCAAATATAAATTCTTACATTTTTTGTTTAATTAAACTTGTATGCCTATCCTGAACTTATAACAGAGACACTTTCCAGACATAGTCACCTCTGTCCCATAGTTCCCAGTCCCGCATCAACGTTAGTCTGTCCATGCGTCCGATGAACAGAACTCCAAAGACGAGGGCTTTCAGGATGCGGAGGAAGCAGCTCATTAAACCGAGGATGAAATTGGTGAACAGCAGGAAGTAGACAGCCACGTGGAAGACACGTCTGGAGTGAACAGGAAATGATTAGGCGCCACCTGTTGAACTATGGAAAAGACTATGTGCTTAATTAATAGTTTTGCCAGCAGAAAATGGCTTCGTGTAAACAGGGGAACCATCATACTTGTCGATTAATTTTACCTGTTGTCCAAACCCAGTGACGTTTTTCTGAAGCAAATAAATGTGGACTGTTCCTGCTGGATCAAGCGCCCTCTGGAGGAAAACCAGTCGAGCAACGAGGATCTGTCCGTAGTAGAAGGCAAAGGCAATGACGAAAGCTAACCTGGAAGTGATTGAAATACGGCTATTAAGAAGTTTCTACTGAAAGGCTATTGTTCGCTGAGCATTGTGGGAAATGGTCGGCAAATTCTATTTTTCTGACACTGGAGAATTTTTGTGAGATTTTTTCGAGTAGCAGTTTTATTTAATCCTTCATTTTTATCGCATAGCATTTCCCAATCTATGAAAATCCCTTTGTTGTCTACTTACATATGCTCAAATATACGAAAATTTACGAATGTTCTCAGCATTGCATGGCACTGCACCCTGAAATCCAGTGAGATCACTTATATTTAAAAAAATTAAGTGAGTGGGTAAGGGACGACGAGATACCACGTTTGCTGGACACGAATAAACTAGAACTAAGAGCTCTGAGCTTACCAGTATCTCTTAAGAAGATACAGGGATACACTATCCCAAAGCAGAACGATTAATTGCAGAATGATCCACATCAGAATCTGTATGACTATAAAACCTGTACCACAATAGGGTATAAAATAGGAGACGGAATTTATGGCAATTGGAATTGCGGTGGAAGAGAAATGTACAGAAGGTAAATATTGATGTGAAGACTGATGAAGATGTGAAACTCAAACTCGTCCCACAGGTCACTTGACTATCTCTGTTTCCAAATGAGCGGTCAAGGTTCCCATTAACAAGACAAGTGGATGGGTAGCTGTCAGGGCGAACAAAGCGTAGGAACGAAGCTTCTTTCCACTTTCATCGCAAATGATTTGTAGAAAATTGTTGTTTCAAAGACTATTGAATTACGAAAACCCTGTGGTGCCAGCAAGTATACACTTTCAAAAAGTTAAGTCTATTTTTTTCGAAGTCCGTTTTTAGGACACATATTTTTTTCGACTTCGTTTGTGCGACATTTACTTTTGTCAAAGTTCATTTGTTCGTGACATACATTCTCCATAACAGTTCGTTGTAGTGAGATCTATATTTAGAAACATTGTCTCTATTTCTGGCAACTAATGTATTTTTATGAAGTTTGTTTTATGAAATATGCCTTTTTTTTCAAGTTAATTTTCGAAGGTATACATTGCTAGGTTTGGATTTATTTCTCGCAAAAACAATTTTCAAAAACTATTACTCATAAAAAACGAACGTTTTTATACATCCTACAAGAACTTGGAAAACTATACGTTATTTTTTGAAAATATACACTTGACGGCACCACGGACTTTTGTACTGAAGTAACAAAGGAACATAGCAAATCATTCGCGGTGTAAGCCTATTTCATCGCGGAAGTTGGTAAAACGCGATCCAAACAATGCATGATTTCGGTGTATAGCTGAGGAGACGGCTTAGCCAGCTACCCTTCAAATGATAACTTACCCCACAGGCTGTATGCAACGTGATATGCAGGGTATCTTAAACTCGCGACCTGTTCACCAAACGGTAAAATGCAAAGGAATGTATTAAACTAGAGGTTTGGTACGCGTTTATTATAGGGCCTAGAGGTGATTGGGCGATATCGATGTCCAGCTTAATAAAAATATGTACGATGTAAACCGAATCCAGTGCTTTGGGTAAATATGAAGATATCTGAAGATATGGGGTCCACCTTTAAGGCAGTGTAATGTCACACGTCACACCGTGTTATCAATGTACCTTTAATCTCGTCCTATATAGTTGTTCATAAATGTACTAACTTTCGACAGGGTGTACAGTTCTTTAGATATTGGTAGGTGGGTGTACCTTTAAGGTAGTGTCACATGACTTATTTTTGATCGCATCATTATAAGTTGCTGCTATTTATATACCTAGAACGTCTGTAAAGAGTCATCCGTTCGAACGACAGTCTTTCATCTTTACCAATGTTGAACCTGATTTTTGACTGATACCCAATGTGTTTTGTACACGTTACTAGGGAAAATTGGCAGGCAGTCAACGCTTCATAGTCGCCGCAAGAACTTGACCTTGGGATCAGGGTCAATGCTCCTGCCAAATTTCATGTTTTACTCTATGGGAAAAAAGGTTGTGGAGATTTGCACATTTTATTGTTTAAAAATAGGCGGGGTAGAAAGAACTCACAGCGAAGGAGTAGGTAACTCACCATCATTACGCTGAAGGACCGTTTCTGTTTTGGGCAAAATGAGCGGTCCCCTCTCCACAACATCAGCGTGTGTTTCCTGAAATTGCAACAAACTTTTACAAATCAAATTCCCTAAGAATGAAACCAACAAGGCACTAGAGTCTTATAGAAGAACAAAGTTTAATAATTCTCTAGTTCACATGCAGTGTATCTATTAGACTGAATCCTTACACACGTTTCCGCGGTCAGTATAAAAGATTTAAGAAACGAACAACGACATAACCCTTTTTTTGCACAGTTTGACTTCAATCATAAACCATTTGACAAATTGATAACTCTACCGTGGCCATTAAATTTAGACAATTTAGACGATAATCATGCGTAAGCGTGGTTGGAAGATACAATTTAAAAATGTGCTTTCAGCTGCCGAAGGAGGGTCTTTCGAATATGCCAGGGTCTAAATTTTGCGTGAAATGTAAGTAAGGCAAAGCAAAAATAAGTCCGTGTCATACGTCCTCAAGAAATACATGTGTATGTGCCTTTTCATTTAGAATTTGAAGTTAGTCCGACTGCTCTATTTAGCAGATTCGAGTAATGCAGATCAACGTGGTTGCTCTTGGGCAAGGTGTGAACATTTTAAATACATGTATAGAAATAATGAGCGTCGGAGGGTGGAGACTATATTGTAAACCTGACACAAAAAAATCAATTAACAGATTGACTGCGGCCACGTATACAGACACGGGTCCCTGCAGACCACTGCTCGTTAAAAATATTTTGGCCCTAGTTTAAACTTGCAGCCCCCCCCAAAAAAAAATAAACCAGGGTTTTAAATTTGCGCCTTCAGTTAATGACATCAAAAAAGTAGGAAATGTCACTGACTTCAACGGTGGCAAATACGATACCCTCCCCCACTAGACGAAAACACATGTACAGAAAAGGGGCTAAAACCCATAATGGACGTGGACGGGACACGAGTGCTTGTCTGCCAGAAATTATAGAGAACTGTGCTTTTTTAACTTGAAAAGAAACTATCTAGATTTTTTATTTCAATTGAAAGAGTCTAGTAAAAGATATATTTAACATTGAAACTAAAAAAGCCTAAAACGAACATCAGAAAAACTTAAATTAATTCCAATGTCGCAATTTAATAACTGTATTTTTTATGAAAAATAAATTTAATTCGCAAAACAACTAACATCAACCGAGCCGACCTATGGTTGAAAGGCCACCTCAACGAAATTAGGGATACTTAAGGATACTAAACTTCAAGCATATCACATCTGAATAGCAAACGCTCAAGCCGTGTGAGTCCCAACAGTTTAATCACCTAAAAATAAATTTTCTTTTTATAAATCATATATTTCTATGCATTATAATGCATATAATTCATGAACACGCCATCTTTGAGCAAAGAGTAAACAATTATATAAAACTGTTTACGAAATTAGTAGCTGTGATATTGTGCTCTTGATTTTGCCGATCGAGTAGCGATGACAGATAAAGTCGTGCGTTATACATACCTGTATCGCAGCTGCATATCAATAGTGCAAGCCACAGTGAAAATCAGTGCCACAACACTTGAAACCCAAAAGGTAACTGCAGTGAAGAAAAAAAAAAGACTTGCTGAAGTTGAAAAACAGATCTGTGTACGAGAAAGTCTTTGAATCAAAATTTCTGCTCAAATGAAAATTTTAAAAGGTCTTCCTTATCTGTCTCTTTTAAAAAGTTATAGAAGAATGATTTTTATTGAATAAATGCTGAGGTAAATCCCCTTGGTCATAAGGTTTTGGTGATACAACCCTCAGAAGGTACGCTCTTGTAAATAATAAACTAAAAGTATGCATTCAGCGCTTACTTGTAATCTTTTGCACGGTCATTTGGGGTAATGTCGGCAGTTGTAAAGTTGAGTAAAAGTATAACAGTCTTCCATTGACACCTGACCACCATAGAACAACCTGTAAAAACAAAAGTGGTTATCTCTTACATAATAAAACAAACGCTTCTTTTTAATGACATCGTCATTAATCTCATTCGTGCTTCTTTTTTCCCCGTGTAATAGAAATGGTGGAGATCTGTCCTGCCTTTTTACGCAGAGCATTTTGGTTGACAGGAGCAGGATATTCGACTATTCATTGAATAATACGGCCGTTTTACAATAGTGCACCACCAAGAGTTTGCAACGCGTTGGCCAATCACAATGCACAAAAGTTGTCGACCCAATGCGCGTTTAGAAAGGGTCGACAAATTTCGAGGGTTGTGATTGGCCAACGCGTTGCAAACTCTTGGAGGCGCCCTATTGTGAAATGGCCGTATTTACTTTTTATTTTGCGGTCGATGAAAGTCAAAAATGATTTGCACTCGCACTAGGCGCCGAATACAGTTCACCCATGTTGAGAACATTGGCGTTAAAACCCAGCAGATTATCACATCGCATTGCATTGTAACGACACTGTTGTGGTGGTATTGCCCAGAAGACTGGTGAAAGCTAACAGTAAACAGCTAAAAGCAATCATGATTTTGATTTGATGAGGGGGGGGGATAAAAATTGATGAAATCGTCAGGGCTTTTGGGGTGTTTTTTTCATACACGTACATGTATTTATCATATAGTCATCTCCAGAACATAACCAAACACATGTTCATATAAGCGAGAAAATAAGTTAGAAAATATTCCAATACATAGATTTACTTTAAGGAAATTTAAGGCGCCAATTACTACAAATTACTACCCGGATAAAACCTAGCCCACACCTCATTTAATCTAAATGCACTCGATCACACATTGCCACATACATGTACACTCACCTGAACTGTTACTACAGCAGTCAATATAAATGTGCAAATATTGTGACGTGAAAATCTGAACCCTAAAGAAAAACAGAAAGCACGCAATTTAACATTAACAAGTACTAATCAGAGACAATATATTCTTGGAACACCTGTGGCTGATTTTAAAATTAGTCAACTTCAAAATGAACGGATTTGCTACTATGTTAATTGTGTTCCCCTTCGATACCAGCAAGGCTTCGGGGGGAAATTATTAAGAATGAATCGAGGAAATCAGACCTGGTTGGCGCAGTTACTCAAGATTCTCAATACGAAGACATCTTACCTGGCACAGTGCCAATATATTTCTGGAACAAGTACAAAACGATGTTTTCACTCATTCTATATATTTCAAAAGAAAAAGGAGGAAATCTATTACAAAGGCAAAAAGAACAAAAAAGGGGTGACCACATGATCCAATGAAATTGAAAAAGCTTGATTAAAAAAATATCAATTATATACTAAATATCTGACCATCAAGTGGTTTTAATCTTGGCCTTAAAATTTC